GCTCCTAGCCTGGAGAATTAATCACTCCCTTCCTTGTTACAAAACGTCTACCTTTGCATTTCCAACCCTCATAATCCATCCTGATAAGCATTATTCACTACAGTGTTATGAGTTACCCGTCTATATTTCCTTTCATCGGCTCCGCCCAGACAAATTGAGTAGTACCTACTGGAGATTCTGCCTTCCTCCATGCTCCCTGGCATTAGGTTCCCTCTTGAAAGCTTGTAAGCCAGTCACTTCTTGCCTTTGTAGTTCCCCCCTCCCCATTTGGGTATCCAATGTCCAAGTTGCCCATCTCCGTCCACTCTGTGTGTGGAGGGGGTGTAAATGCTTCTTGCTGTAAGTATTTGTTCCTTCTCTTGAGTCGCTGCTCCATAGGTATAGGTCAAGTTCATCAGATTGTATCAGCTCATTCTTCCCACCCCCACCCCGCTTCTTTCCTCTCCTGGTTGAACTCCGATCATCCAGTCATCCGGTCCAGGTCACGTGGGTATCATCTGCAAGTGTGGGCACTCTTGTGCATATGCCCTCTCTTCCCGTCAGCCGGTAGTTCCACTCGCCTCTCGAGTCCTCCCACTGACTGGGCCCAAGAGTCCCCAGGTCTCCTCACACTGCTTGCCAACCAGGTCCACAACTGGGTCCACAGAAGTCCACTGAACATTGTAGGGCTTAGCTTGCCGCTTCATTGCTGCTTTTACCCCACTTCCCCCATCAGTTATGTGTGTGGTCACCGATCAGAGCGTGCATTTCCGTTGAGTCTTAGTCTTGGAAGGGGGTTTGCATTGAGAGGATCTGGCCACTTGCCTTGATGTTTCCTAGGGAAGCGATTTGTTTGTTCTTGTAGTAATAGTCCATCTGCCTCCATTTTTCCTGCAGGTCTTTCTTTCAGGAGGTATCTTTTATTCTTCTAGCCGCTCCAGGCTGGTCTGCTCATCCTTTCAAGTGGAGATTTCTCATCTCTGGAGATCTGGATGTAGTTCCGGTTTCTACCTATCATTCTGATTTATTTTTCTTCTTGCTTTTTCTCAATTAAGTTCTCAAAGGTAGAAAAGGCTCTTTTCCTGGTTAAAATATATAAAAGTAAAACTGGAGAGATACCTTCATTTTGATATTTAGGTATTTCTCTTACTTTTCAAAAGTATTTTACCAGAAGAAAAAACTATGCACCCCTTTATTGATCACCCCACCTGCCCTGTGGGGTTCAGCTGCTGCCCGGACTTTAAACTCTGGAAAATGGGAGGGAAGATGAAGCCAAGTGCCCAGAGGCTCAGATGCCTGCCCATGTGTGTCCAGCTGCCCCTGCAGCTTTAGTCTGTGGCACATTAAGCTCTTGCCCTTTTTACAATGGGAAAACTGAAATGAAGAAGTGATAAAGGGAGTTCCAATTTAATTTTTCCAGAAGGATGTAAAAATTGAAGGTACATAGAGTGATACAGGAAAGGGCAGCTGAATTCACAAAGGAGCTTCTGGTTTTGATTTATTTTCCTAACTCCTCTTCAACCGCCTTATGGTTTTGTCCCAAATATGTGTGTGTGTGTATTAAAAAATTATAATAATGAAAATAAAGCTAAATTCAAAGCAATAAGACACCCTGTTATAAAATATAAACCTTAACCTATAACCAGATGCTTTAACTGGTATGTCTCACTGCAAATATTATAAAATCTTATGCAATATTTTTTATGTCCAAATAAACACATTGCTTTCAAGTCAATTCAACCAATAGTGACCCTACAGTACAGATTAGAGCTGCCCTTTAGGATTTCCAAAAGTGTAAATCTTTAGGAAACAGACTGCCACATCCTTCTCCCAAGGAGCAGCTGGTGAGTATGAACCATTGACTTTTCTGGGCCACCTGAGATCCTCGTATCACTTTATGTTTTCTTTGATCAAAAACCCCATGTATGAGGTAAATCATTCAATTGGTCTGCAGGACTGGGCATGAAAAATGCTGGTTTCTCTCCCAGACTTCTCTGCTTCCTTGCCCTCTTGTTTGAGACAATCACATTGAAGTTATTTTTGGTAGTGCCTTCCTTAGTGGTTTACCACCACCCCACCCCACCCCACCCTCCATTACTCCAAATGTTTATATGTTTATAGAAGTTTTGCATCTTGATCTGACAACTTCAGACTACTGAGAGACACTCCATTTTGGAAGATGAGGATTTAAGTAGCTTATTATAAACCCTCTTTAACTCTCGCTTCAACTCCTCCATCAATTTATTATTATTATTATTATTGTGGAGCATAGACTGACCCTGGAACCACTATGAGCTAGCTTATGAGGTCCCTGAGACTTTACTTGTCTCATGGAGAATTGTAGAGATTAGCGTGGAGCATTGTGACAATTCCAGTTGAACCTCACTGTCCAACCAGGCCTGCCAAGACACCAGCCATGTGAGTGAAGCCATCTCCGGCCCTCAGACAAGTCCCTGTGTATCCTTAATCACCTGGTAAAGAGTGGAAATGTCATCTGCGGTTTAGTTCAGCAGTCTTTCTAATCTAGATAGCCAATAGTGACGACATTTCTTCAATCATAGACCCAGTACCACAGGTTGTAATGTTGTGGTATATGCCATCGATTCAGTTTCTGACTCATAGCAACCCTGCATAGGGTTTCTAAAGCTGTAAATCTTTACAGGAGCAGAAAGCCTCATCTTTCTCCCATAGAGTGGCTTGTCATTTCAAACTGCTGACCTTGAGCCTAACAACCCGACTCATAACCACTACAGTACCAGAGCTGCTTTTATTGACTGTATTCCTGATGGCAGAATATCAAATTTCTTCCACAGTTCAACTAAACTCTTTGTGGACAAATTAATTGGCTTTGGGTTTTAGAATCCTAGTCTCAGTTTTGTCTATTTTGTGAAAATGCTATTGTGTGAATATAAAAATATATTATCATAATTTTTCTTTCATTTCTCTTATTAGTTATAGTTTGTTGTTGTTGTTAAGTGCCATCAAGTCGATTCTGACCCATAGCGACCCTGTATAGGGTTTCCAAGGAATATCTGGTGAGCTTGAACCGCCGACCTTGCAGTTCAAACATCTTTGCAGTCTGGTGCATTAACCCTCAATGCCACACCAGGACTCCAATTATAGTTTAGAAGCATGCAAAAACAACATCTCACATGGGATAACACACAAGATTTAACTGGATTAACAGAATGCATTTCCAGTTCAGGAATGTAGTGAGCTGATTTTCAATTTAGACTGCACCCCCTTTTGGTCATCAGAACACCCACTATTTGGAATGACAATTCATCAAAAGTTCTATCAACTGAGTACCTAATTTGTTCTTTACCCCTGCCTTTTCCTGTCAAGGACTTTTTCTGATTGCTTAAATGTGATGACTTACTAAACTAGTATAGATCAAACTGATGAAGATCAATGACTGCAACCTTCACTATGGATTACATCTCAACATAAAGAAATCCTTACAATTGGACCAATAATCAATATCATGAAACATGGAGAAAAGATTGAAGTTGTCTAGTAGTTCATTTTACTTAAATCTATAATCAATGTCCATGGAAGCAGCAGTCAGGAAATCAAATGATATATTGCATTCGGCAAATCCACTGCAAAAGATCTCTTTAAAGTGTTAAAGAACAAAGATGTACACTTTAACTAAGGTGCACCAGACCCAAGCCATGGTATTGTCAGTCGCTTCATATGCATGTGAAAGATGAGTAAGGAAGACTCCAGAACAGTTGATACTTTTGAATTATGGTGTGATGAAGAATATTAAATGTTCCATGGACTTCCAGAGTAACCAATAAATCTGTGTTGGAATAAGTACCGTCAGAATGCTCCTTAGAAGCAACAATGGCGAGACTTTGTTTCACATACTTTGGACTTGTTATCAGAAGGGACCAGTCAGTCCCTGGAAGTCATTATGCTTGGTAAAGTAGAAGGTCAACAAAATTGACACAGTGGCTGCAATAATGGTCTCAAACTTAGTAATGATTGTGAGGATTAGCAGGACCAGGCAGTGCTTCGTTCCATTATACACAGGATCCCCGATGGATTGGAACCAATTCAATGACACCTAACAACAGAATGGCAGAAGGTTACCAAAGTTTTCTTTTCTTTTATACTACAATGTCTGTTATAGTTTGAGATTTCAAAACCTCAAAGCATGGTTTTCAATATTGTTCATTTTTTAAACTTTCGCTAAAGCCCTGGGTGGTCAGCTTTATAACAGTTATAAAAATAGTAAGATCAAGATGTTAGTGTAATATTGCTGAACAAATTATATTGTTAGTAAGAAAAATTTACCTCCACAATTTTGGTTGCAGTAAATGATCACTGTTTATTGAGTCGTTCCTTTTTACTAAATATAATTTACTATAGACTCTTCATGGGCAAAGGATATCCAGCTTTAAAAATTGAATCTGTTTTGTAATTTATTTAATCCAGTTTGAAACTGAAGTAAATCAATCATAGAATGTACCAAATCTTTACAGTTATGGAAGGATATGACCAAAAGTTTCCTAAATGTCAGTGAGTTTTGGACACGCCTCCTTCGTTCCTGCATCAGCTAGACTCACAGGCACCCAGTGTGACAAGACATTTTTTGCCTCTCTCAAAGGAGAAAGAACTTTTCTGCACTCCTAACACTTTCCTGCAATTGAAAGTTTGCCTGTCGTCACTGTAGAATGATTCCTGCCTCAAAGCTCATGGCAGTACAAGATAGGCCACCTGCTTGTACAGGGCATGGGCCACCTGCTTGCCACTGTATCCTTGATATAAAGATCAAGTTTTCATCCTCATTCTCTGTTGTGCTTTCCCTATTGTTTGCCTTTATGTAGAGAAATGCTCTCCTCCATGTTCTTTCCCATCAGACAGAGAGAGAGAGCAGAAGCTAGATTGGAAGGGCTGTGTTAAAGAGAGATGGCATATTCATATTCTTTGACAAAGTGAAAAATAATCAGTGTGTTTCATAAGTAAATCATAGTCCTCTTCCCTCATTTTCTTTTCTGCCTTGCCCCTCTACACACTTGAATCTCAACTCCTGAGGTAATTGCTTCTGTGACACATACACACACACACACACACACACACACACACACACACATATATATATATATATATATATATTTTTTT